AGCGCCCATACTGTGAGTGCACTTCACTTTCGCTCTCATAACTCAATTAACTTATAATTTTGAAACACAAGTGTTTGTCGAGGAATGGGAAGGGATTACATGAAGAGATAAATTTACACACAGAGAGGGGAAAAATTACTGACGATAATTTGATTACAAGTAGTGATCCATTTGTGTAGTGATCTTGAATTGAATGTAACGATTGATTACTGTTTGACAAACACTTACTCTTTGTGTGTGTTTTTTCTCTCCGTATATAATATTTTTCGTGTTAACACTTTAAGAGTGCTATTCATGTCTTATATATACGATAAACCATTTATGTGTAATTGAATTATGTATTTATCGTGCCTTTTGTTCATTACTATGTTTTTGGCTATAGATATGCGGCTCTCTATAGCTATAGACCGCAAAAGAAGGACGAATTGGAGCTAAAGAAAGGAGAGTTGTATTCGGTTTGTGAGAAATGTCACGACGGATGGTATAAAGGAGTCTCTGTTCGCAACGGATCTTCCGGTGTATTCCCCGGCAATTACGTACAGTTAGCCAAGTATTGCAACCATTCATTCATTATGTTTTCCACTACTAATTTTGAGCTCATTTTTCTCTCTGTCTCTTATCTCTTGATTTTTATGATCTATTTTTTGAATATTTTCTTCAATACATGTCTAACTTTAAGCGCTAATTAATGTCTCTTTTAATGTGCACACAGATTGTCGACACAGTTGTCTCAATATCCGTGTCCAGTGAACGTCAGCAACAAATCGCAGTCCATATTAAGTGCCAATAATTCAATACAACTTCAATCGGGCACTCAATTGGCGAAAGAGCCGCCGATTCCCAAACCAAAGCCTATAATACACGCCAAGCCTTCGACCGGCGGCGACGCGGGAGCCCAACAGCCGATGACCAACACTACAACCACTGCCACCGATAATACGGGCGCAACGGTCTATGCAAGACCGCGACCATCCGGTCAACCCATTTACGACGCGTCGCGCAACTTATCGGCTTTAGTGCCACCGCCGCCGCCCACCCAACGGCCCGGTCGTCCGTTAAGCAGTATTCTAGTGCCTAATACTAAGTCGACCGAAGATCAGTGCCCATCACCGCAGAGCCAATTGGCTCAAGCGCTCAATCAGTCGCTACTCATCTCTAAACAACAGTCCGCCTCCCAGTCATCACTCAATCAAAGGTAATTTCACATCAGAATCTCTATTAGCATTAATCCAGTTATGAGTTTAGTATATATTTGTCATATGATTTGCGACAATTAGTGATGAGTTAATTGTAATGTTTTGTATTTAATTTAATAATCTATGCGTTTAGTGAATATTCTGTGCATACAATACATGATTACAAGTATGACTTGAATTTTGATATCGAAAGGTTATGGCAAAACCTATACTTATTTTATTATTATATTATTAATATATTTGTTAAATGACTTTATAATATCATAACATTAATGGAGAAACTTTTTTTTCGTTGACGGATACCCAGAGACTATTAATCATTTGACTAATTGATAGTAAATGCGATATAAAATTGTTTGCAAACTATCGTTGAATTCAATGAGAAGTATATTTTAATTTGATTAATGAATTTTTTGGGATATTATTGAAGAATTGGGCGAATAGTTTAGTTGTGTTGTTGAATACGATTCTCAATCATTACCACCAGAATAATGTTGTGCTAATGACTTGTTTCACTTTAACCATCCGCTCACCGACTTCTCGGTGGCTATTAATTGTAGTCTTAGTTTATAGTGTTTTCTTTGTTATTATTAGTATTATTACAATCTTAACGATCGCATCCATACATACAATACAATCGCACAAATTGAGAGCTTTTTATAATGACTTGTGTTTTCTTTCAAACACTAACTCCAGACCCAAACACAGAGAGACAGTGATCTCCAGTTCCGGTAATCATATGGTAATCATTGCTTATAATCGCAACATTAGTTTGAATACAGAGAGTATATTACGATTAGTTGTCTGTTGTGTGTCGTTATGTTATGACTTAATATTCAAATTACACGTCCATTAAGTCGATGGGATTTTATTATTATTTTTAAAAAGCAGACATCCATTCAAAGCGATGTGTATTTTGTTATTTAATATTTCTCTTTTCTTCCCTAATGTTTTGGCTATAAATGGGGTTTTAAACCATTTTTCGTGTATTTTCCACTATTTTTCTTGCTTTTTAGTAACACAAAGATATCTCTCGTATAGTTTTTTTTCATAAGTTTATTAAACAATTTTTTCTCATTCTCTAAAAGATTAAACAAAATGCACTGAATGTATGAAAGAAATTCATTTTTTCATTACAATTACCATCGCTTTTATTCCCTTTAATAATATCTTTGAGTGCTATTAAAAGGACATTAAAGTCATTCTTATCATTAAGAGATTGGATCGCATTTTGCAATTCAAAGCAAACTTTTCTCGTTTTTTTGTTAACAAAAAAAACAAATTATAAGATATTTTGTGCACAAAGTTATTGCCATAATATGTCATAATTATAGGGCTTTTGTAGTGCATCTCATATGATAAGTGAAATAATTGTATCATTTGTTTATCTGATTAAAAAGCAGTACTCAATGGCATCAGCCGAAAGTGGCCGCAACCAGAAACACGATATCGATGGCCACCAACACGTCGTCGGCCACAGCGATAACACCGCCGCCAAACGTGTCGGTCATGTCGTCGTCTTCGTCGGTGATGACACCGACCAGTCATAGGCCGCCAACCGATCGACGGGAGACCAAAACGAAGGAGAAGTCCTCGAATTTTATCAAACGATTCACTTCTTCGTCGAAACCTAAACGCAAACATCAAATGAATAATAATAATAACAATAACAGTAACGCCGCTAACAATAGACATAACAATAGCTTTTCATGTGATAATCCGTCGTTTGTGGACACGTCGCCCAATAATGTGGCGCCCCTTCATATCAGGTCCGGTTCCTGTCCTAATGAATCGCTTCCAGAGTTGGGTTCGCATAAGAAACAGTCCTCTTTCGACGACACCAATACTGTAAGTCTCTCTCTCTCTCTCTCTCTCTCTCTCTCTCT